TCGCTCCACTCAAGCCTCGGCCAAATCGTCTTTCTACTCCAGGATAATCCTGGAGGCGAAGAACAACCCCAGGCTACTGTTTTCTACCACATCCCGACTCCTCCGTCCCCCCGCCACCCCGCGCAGGTCATCTCCTCCAACCTTCACTGCGAGGAGATGCTGGATTTCCTTGAATCCAAAATCAAGGGAATTCGCTCCGCAGTCACTTCCCCTCCAACATCCACCCACCCCCTCCCTCCCAAACTCCGACTCCTACCCATCCTCCCCTACACACTTTCGTACCCGTTTCCCCACCCTCTGTCACCAAACTCATCCTATCCCTGAAACCCACCACCTGCTCCCTTGACCCCATCCCCACTCCACTCCTTATCTCCCAGCTCCACCTCCTTGCCCCACATATCACAGACATCGTCAACCTGTCCCTCTCCTCTGGCTCTGTTCCCATTCCCTTAAAAACTGCCACCATCACTCCCACCTTGAAAAAACCCTCCCTTGATGCGTCGCAGCTATCAAGCTACCGGCCCATCTCCAACCTCCCCTTCCTGGCCAAGGTCCTGGAACAAGTTGTCGTCTCCCAGCTGCGCTCTTTCCTCTCCACCCATTCATTACTCGAACCCCTTCAGTCGGGTTTCCGTGCTGCCCATAGCACAGAAACTGCCCTGGTCAAGGTCACCAATGACATCCTGACCATCTGTGACCAGGGCTCCCTCTGCCTCCTCGACCTATCGGCAGCATTCGATACGGTCGACCACGCTATCCTCCTCCACCGCTTGTCCTCCCACCTCAACCTTCAAGGCCCTGTCCTTGAGTGGTTTAGGTCGTACCTCTCCCACCGTCTCCACTTTGTTTCCACAAACGGCTTCTCTCCAGCCCCGCACTGTCTTGTGCGGTGTCCCTCAGGGCTCTGTCCTCGGTCCCCTCCTCTTCACCCTCTATATGCTCCCCCTTGGTGACATCATCCGCAGACATGGGGTTAACTTCCACATGTATGCGGATGACACCCAACTCTACCTTTCCTCCTCTACCCTCAACTCCACGACCACCGATGTCCTGACAGCCTGCCTGTCCGACATCGAGTCCTGGACGAGAGACAACTTTCTTCAGCTCAACGTGCGTAAAACTGAGGCCCTCCTGATTGGCTCACGTCAGCGCCTCCGCACCTCACGCCTGACAGCATCAGCATCCAAGGCTGCCCTCTCCACCTCTCAAAGCCAGTCAGGAACCTCGGCGTTTTGTTCGACCCTGAGCTGTCCTTTCTCCCTCACATCCGCACCACAACTGGCACTGCCTTCCATCACCTCCGGAACATCGCCAGACTACGGCACTACCTCACCCCTCACGCTGCTGAAACTCTGGTCCACGCCTTTATCACCTCAAGGCTGGACTATGGGAACTCTCTCCTCGCCGGCCTTCCCGGCACCTCCCTCCACAAGCTGCAGGTCATTCAGAACTCTGAGGCTCGTGTACTGTCCCGCACCAGGCTTCGGGAACACATCACTCCCACCCTCGCTCGCCTCCACTGGCTCCCCATCCCCCAGAGGATCGATTTCAAGATCCTCATCCTCACCTACAAGGCCATTCACGGCCTTGCACCCTCCTACCTCTCCGACCTACTATCCCCCTACTTACCTGCCTGTACCCTCCATTCCTCTGGCTCCGGTCTGCTCCACATCCCCCGCCCCAACCGCCCTACCATCGGTGGCCGGGCCTTCAGCCTCTCAGCCCCGAGGCTCTGGAACTCTATCCCCCAGTGCCTTCGCCGCTTCCTCCCTTTCCTCCTTCAAGGCCGGTCTCAAGACCTTTCTCTTTGACCGTACCTTCAGCTCCCCTCTCGACTCTCTACCCCACCTCGCTCCCTCCCTCCCCTCCCCTCACCCTGACCATTTCCCCCCTCCTTGGGTCCTGACCCAACTGTACAGCGCCTTGGGACGTCCTCCTGACGTGAAAGGCGCTCTATAAATGGAATCTTGTTGTTGTATAAATGACCTGGATTTGGGTACAGGGAGTCCAATTTCCAAGTTTGCAGATGATACTAAGCTAGGAAAAGTAGTAAACAGTGAGGAGGACAGTAGCAGACTGCAAATGGACATAGACAGACTGGTAAAATGGGCAGACACGTGGCAGATGAAGTTTAATGTGGAGAAATGCGAAGTGATGCATTTTGGGAGGAAGAATGAGGAGAGGCAATATAAGCTGATAGTACAATCCTAAAGGGGGTGAAAGAACAGAGACCTGGGGTTCATATAAGTAAATCTCTGAAGGTGGCAGGACAGGTAGATAAAGCTGTTAAATAAGCATTAGGGATACTAGGCTTTATAAATAGGGGCATAGAATACAAAAGTCAGGAAGATATGATGAACCTTTATAAAACACTGGTTAGGCCTCAGCTAGAGATTCTGGGCTGGCCCACCACTTTAAGAAGGATGTCAAGGCATTGGAGAGGGTGCAAAGGAGATTTACCAGGATGGTACCAGGAATGAGGGACTTCAGTTATCAGAGAGGCCAGAGAAGCTGGGATTATTCTCCTTGGAGCAGAAAAGATTAAGGGGAAACTTAATAGAAGTTTTCAAAATTATGAGGGGATTCGATAGGATGAACAAGGAGAAACTATTTTCATTGGTAACCCGAGGACACCGATTTAAAATAGTTGTTAAAAGAGAAGCAGATAATTATTTGGGGAGGACAAGTTTTTGCAGGGCTTTGGGGCGAGAGTGGGATTGATTTGGATAGCTCTTTTCAAAGAGCCGGCACAGACACAATGGGCCGAATGGCCTCCTTCTGTGCTGTATAATTCTATGATTCTATCAAAAAAAACAAGGCCCATCTGATAATCATATCACTTGCACATTGGGATCATCGTGTTTGTGAGCAGATAATTTCTGAAATGTCATTCTTTAAAATAGCCTGCTGAGTTTGGTCATAGAATCTTTCAGACATTCAGTCCATCATGCTCATGCCAGTTCTTTGAAAGAGCTACCAAATAGTACCACTTCCCCCCCTCTTACCCTATGGCCCTGTATATTTTTCCTTTTTATGTACCTTTCCAATTCCCTTTTGAAAGTGATTATCAAATCTGCTTCCACAACCCTTTCAAGCAATGCTTTCCAGACCGTAACAACTCTCTGGGTAAAACAAATTCTCATCTCCCCTCTGGTTCTTTTGTCAATTATCTTAAATCTATGTCCTCTGGTTACCAACCAACCCGCCAGAGGAAACCGTTCCTCCCTATCTACTCTATCAAAACCACTCAGAATTGTGAATACCTCTATTAAATCTCCCCTCACTTTCTCTGGTTTTAATAATAATAATAATCCTTGCATTTGATATAGCGCTTTTCACATCTTCTAGATGTCTCAAATCGCTTCACAGAATTTGCTGTAAAGTGAATTGACTGGATATTTGTGGGCGAAAAGCGGCAACCAATTGCGCACAGCAGTGTCCCACAAACAGTCGTGGATTGAAAATGACCAATTTATTATTGTTTTGTTTTGGAGGGATTATTATTAGGCGTGTGGAGTAAGGAAACTTGCCCAAGGTTTCGCCCTACCTGGAATTGAACCCAGGTATCTCGCTTGCAAGGCAAGTGCTCCAACCACTGAGCTACAGTTCTTGTTGTTGGAATGATTCATTTCACAAGTACGTGTCCTGATCCAACTCTCCCGAGCTGAGACTTTGTACGGACTGGTGTAAGGCAGAGTTTGTTTGCAGCGAGAGCTGGCTGGCCACTGCTGTGGTATCTACCGGCTGGTTAGTGAACTGGCCATCCAAAAACTGTACAGCCTGCCCGGATCCCGACCCATTATCCACAGGCTCTCCCATTCCTTTCTTTTTCTCCTTTTTTTCTTTTGAGCTCTTTTCTTTTTTCTTCTTCGTAACTTTGTTGGGATCCAGAGAGGGAGATGCAGGAGGGGAGTTTATTACGATGGAGAGAGCCTACACCAAAGCTTCAGTTTTAAGTTTTTAGGAGTATAATTCCAGCCTCTCTAGTCTCTCCACATAACTGCAATCCCTCATCCTTGGTATAATTCTTGTAAATCTTTTCTACACTATCCCCAAGGCCCTGACATCATTCCTAAAGTGTGGTGCCCAGAATTCATTGCCTTACTTCATATAAAAGCCTCTGAAAGAAATAATTCACAATACATATTATCTGATACCATCATGTATTTCATTTAATATGCATCACAAGGGCTAATATATGATAAATAAGCAAATGTAATGATTATTTTATATATATGTTTAAAATTGCAAACAAATCTGAAGAGATGCAGTTTTTCTTATAATTTGAAGCATTTCGAAACATATTGAAAAATGCCTTTCAATATACAACATTGCTTCACTTATAGAGTGACATTTGTGACCTTAAAAGCCTGAAAATCTCCTTATACCAAGGAAGGTGCAAGGTGATTACTCTATGGATCACAAGAGCATCTGGGCTAACCTGCCAACATGGTAGTATTGCTTGAAGCATCGCCTGATGGCAGCAGTTTTGCTCCCTCAGTTGGTAGGTTGAAATTTTCTGCATCCCGACAATCATGCTTTTAACGTATTTCAACAAGGGAATCAACCTAGCATTGTCAATACTAATGTCAATACTATAAGGGCTTCAGCAGTGAAGGCTTATGCAAATCATCACAACACCAGAGCATTTTTTTTCCACATTCATGAGCAGTTTTTCCAACTATCTCAAAGAATTTGCAGAAAATCTGAAAATGTCCAAGATTTCAACAGAAACTGTAGTTTTGTGGACTGGAAGGAAAAATATTAATCCTGAAATATACTCACTGCCCAATACAAATGGAAATAGTATGAGGATATTCATATAATATCGATTTTGTTTTACAAAGAATGAATACGTGCAAGATAATTTTATCAAAAGTACTTTAGTGACTACTTGAGTACAAGATGACAAACGGGTCTCTTGCTACTGCTGTCAATTAGCACAAATGTGGCTAATAATGTATGTTTTTTTTACAATAAATACATCTTTTTTCACTCACCTGACAATTCACATTCATGCCTGCCTCCAGCAAAACCTCAACCACAGCTTTGTGCCCATTCCGTGCAGCAAGATGCAGTGGAGTATGTTTTTTGTTACTGCAACTCATCAAATTCGGATGTGCATTTATCAGCATCTTAACCACTTGCAGACGACCATAGAGCGCAGCCAGGTCAAGCGGAGTTTCAAACTTGTTGTTTCTAATTGTGGGATCAGTTATTTCTTCCAAAAGAACTCCAACCACATCTGAGTGTCCATATTGAGCTGCACAGTGCAGTGCTGTTTCATTCTCATTATTCTGTGGGAGAAGGATAATTGGTTATTACAAGATTATCATTCAAAGTGCATTCTCTAAATAGCAACAGTGCACTAGACAAGATGTATTTACTATTTCTGCAAAACATTTTTTAAAATGTGCAAGCATGAAGGAAGAAAATTAGAGCCACTTGTTTGACTTACAACCAAAACCTTTCATTAAAAAATCCATTTAAATTCCAGTTTCTTGTAGAGCAAGAAATTCATGTCCAATATTAATTTAGAATTTTCTCATGGACCTGCGGTAGTTTTTAAGCTTCAGAAATATCAATAACATTTTCCTGTAATTTATTTTAAAAAAAAACTGTTGCAGGGTTAGATTCTGCAGCATTTTTTCTCCAATATACATAAACAGACTTTCTGTTCTACGGAACGGACCTCAAATAAATTTAAAAAAAGTAATAATAAGTTCTCTCCTCTCTCATCCACCTCCGTGAAACCACATTTTCCTGGTTCCAATTCTATCTGATCCATCACCTCCACTTTGTCTCCTCCCACCCTTACATGGGCACCTATAAAGTACCTCTATTGTGAGGCCTGAAAAAAAGTATTTTAGAACTTGGCTCTATTCTCAGTCCCCTCCTTTTCTTCATCTGTATGTTCCCTTTTGGCATCATCATCCGCATACACAGGATTAACTTCCACATGTATACAGGTGACACCCAAATCTACTTTGCCACTTCTGCCTGTCCAGGGCAATTTATGTTCTGTCCACCTTTCTGTCAGATATCAACAACTGGATCAGCCTCAATTACATACAGCTCAACATCAATAAGATAGAAGCCATCCTTCTTGGCTCCTGCCATGTCTGCTAATGTCATACTCTGAACTACTAGCATCCCTCAAACATACCATCCAAATGCTTCCTTTCTCAATAATGCTTTTCTTCACTTTGCCACATTGCCTACTTCCAACCCCATTTCATACAAAATGCCACCAAAACCATTATTCACACTTGACTTCCCAAGAACATTCCTCGCTGGTCTCCTTAGTTCCACCATTCACAAGCTTGAGGTCACACAAAACTCGTTGCCTGCATCCTCACCCCTACCAACTCTGCAAGTCTGCATCACCTGTACATTCCTTAATGCTCTAGCACTTCCCTATCTCTCCAATCTTCTGTTCACCCACACCCCACTCGCCAAACTTGTGACCTACTCAGAATCTTGTACCCCTCACCTTCCAAACCACCTCCTACTCAGGCAAGTCACCCTGGTACACTAGGCACCTCCACTCCGTCAAGACACAGGTGTGTGCCACCAAACTGGTTCAAATTTAATTTAACGGTCTATCGGCAGATCTGACTGGACCACATCAAAACTTACCACTCCGCCCTCACCTCCGCTGAATCGCCCTTCTACTCCAAGATAATCTTGGAGGTCAAGGACAACCCCAGGCTCCTCCTCTCCACCACCAACTGGCTCCTCCACCCACCCTCTCATGCTTTTCCCACCTCTCCTCCAACTCCAATTGCGAGGAGATACTAGACTTCCCCGAGATAAAAATTGAGGGTATCAGCTCAACCGCCTCTGTCCTCCCAACTACTATCCACTCCCCACCTCCCCCACACACTCTGGTCCCTACCCATCCCTCCCTCCACATATTTCAGATTCAGGGAGAGATACAGGCAGAGAAAGATCATCATTGAATTTACCCAGGTTACTTTGCGTCAATTTATTTCTTCCCACTTTTCACCAGTTTTCTAACATGAAGATTTTTTTTGGAAGCTGAACGGGATTCAAAAAATTAATCCAGAACATTATTTTCAGGCAAATCAAGGCAACAGCAGAACAAAAGAGCACAGGTTTATGGTTATGAAGGGCAATTTCAGGACCAACAGCAGAAAATATTTCTTCACACAAATAAAATGGGCCTTCTTCATCCAAATCTCTCTTGTGATAATTTTGTGATTATCCGGACAAGGAAATATACATCAAGCATTAAAACATGGAAAAGCTCAAATACAACTGCAGTGTACTAATTCATCAACGTTTTAAATTATACAAGGTTGAACACAAAATTACAACATTAGTTTAATAATTTACATTGGGAGGCGAAAATATGATTTACTGAAGTTGACGTAGCAGGTACTTACTCTCTCCAGTTGTTACAAATATATATGTGCAAGATAAATGGGACTGCCAATGGTTATCTGCTGAATAAGGATTGCTGGAATTTCACAACTTGTGACCAGATGGTATATGTAAGGATTCAGTGCCAGCAAAGAATTGACCACCATGGAATCTACAGAAACCTCTGAACTGACTCAGCAGTTTGCACAGCGCAACTGTTCTATTCTTTGTTGGAATCTCAAGAATATTATTCATCAATAACAACAACTTCTTGCATGTACATAGCGCCTTGCACACATGCCTCAGAGCACTTAATCTTAGGTCAGAAAAGTGAACCACAATTTAGCCATTGATGCTGGCTCATATAACACACTTGAAAGTATGATCATCTTTAAAATATATAAATAGCCTGAAAATGCATTACAATTTATTTCTAGCAGAGCAACCTTCCAGTCTACTGTAGTTGAATCTTATGATTGGACCAAAATAAAGTTACCTTACAAAAACTGCTAACTAACATTTGTCTTGACATGAAAGGCACTGTACAAATGTAATTTGTTGTTGTTGTCTTGGTGATTTTTCATGCCCATCATGGTGATATTGGTGCTATTTCACTTTATGGCTGTTTCTGGAACAATGTTGTTTGCAAATTGGCTGCCTCTTTTACCTACAAATACAGGACTAGGCTTTGCAGTATATTCTATGAAGCATTTTGAGATGTCTTGGTAACATAAGGCACTAGATCAAATACAAGAATTATTTTCATTATTTTAATATTATTATCTGTGCTGGGAAATTGCAAATTTGCCCATTTTAAGAGTCAAGAGTCAGAATTTTCAAGAATTCTTAGGTCAGGTACAATATTATATTTAGAAATGTGCTTTGGTTCTGAGCTCAGGTGAGCTATGACAAATACCATACTAGCATTCTGCTTCTATTTCTCACACAAATAAAATCTGTCAACTTTCTGGCTAAGATTCCCAATTTAGTAATAGCCCCATGCTGAGGTTGAGATTTTGCAAACTCTATCAATGTGGGTTGATTTAATTAGAAGACCTTGGTGATAGTACTGCAAGCAAGGTAACTCTGCCATTTAGTTAAATAAATAAATAAAAATAAAAAAGTAACAGAGGGGAATTGTGCCTGGAGTATGACAATACTGTGCCTGGAATCATATTCCTTAGTACTAAGGACAGAGAAGACAAATAATATCATCAAGCTTTTACAGACTTGTGAACAGGACACAGGAGAAAACAGGTCGTCCTACTAGGTGAACCTTGTCATAATTCGAGTTGTCAGCCTGGCTCAATAGCAGTAATCTCAACTCGGAGTCAAAAGGTTGTGGGTCCAAGTCAGGACTGGGAATTACATAGTCGAAGCTGATACCGCAATGCAGTGTTTGTTGCATTGTCGGAGGTGCTGTTCTTCGGATGAGATATTAAACGGAGGTCCCATCTGCCTGTTCAGGTGGATGGTAAAAAATCCATGATACTATTCAAAAAGAGAGGGAAGTTTCGCTCTGTGACCTGGCCAACAATTCCCCCCCAAACAAAATTGTCCACTCAATCTACGGCTGTTTGTGGGACATTGTTGTGCGCGATTGACTGCAGCATTTCACCCACAAAATACACAATCAATCCACTTTACTGTATAGCCTCTGAAGCACTTTGAGACATCACAATGACATGGTAAGGTGTCATATCAAATGCATAGATTGTTATTATTAATTCTAGTCCAACACATCCAACCCTCAGTTGACTTTACTGCAATAATAATCTTTGCATTTGATATAGTGCCTTATCACATCTTTGAGACATCTCAAAGCGCTACACAGAATACACTGTCAAGTATAGTGACTGTGTATTTTGTGGGAAAAACACAGCAGCCAATTGCGCAGTGTCCCACAAACAGGCATGGATTGAGTGACTACGTTTTTTAAATACTTTACTAATTAGAAGTTATTGCTCCTTTGATCATTCCTCTCTTATAGGAGGGCCTTTTGATCACACCCCAAAAAAAACAAAATTGCACAATAGCCTTAACCAAAAAAAAAAGTTTTAGTTTAACAAAGAAGTTCTACCTCTGTACATCTGTTTTCGCCAGACTCTCCCCTCACATGCCCAAGCCCCCAGCTTTATGTTGGTGCTCCATTATTACCTAGGGCTGGTTACCAATTATCACAAAATTCAATCAAGCCAGATTGGAGTCCAGCTCTTGTAGCTCTCTTTACACGTAGGTTGATCACCAATAAAAGGCAGTGACAGGATTTTTAATCTGTGTAACATTCCTCCCCTAAATGGGTAGCTGGAGGTAACTGCAGCAGAAGCCTGACTGGCCATACCCTTGTGGGACAGGAAGTCAGCATTGGCAGTTTCCCATCCAGACCTGTGGTGCATGGTAAAGCTGAAGGGCTGGAGAGACAAATACCACCTGGTCAGCTGAGCAGTGGTATTCTTCATGGTATGTAACCATTTTAGGAGTCCTGTAGCACATTGGTTAGATCACTTGCAATGCAAGTGAGAGGACCTGGGTTCAATTCCTGGGCAGAGCAAAACATTAGGCACACACCTCTGTTCACCTAGCAGTAAGAAGGAACTGGTTATTAGTTGAATGGTGGATTGATTTTTTATTAATCTGTTAAAATAAATTTTGAAGTAACAATTTGATCACTCAATCAACAACTATTTGTGGGAACTGCTCTGTGCAATTGGCTGCTGAGATTTGCCACAAAAGATAGTCAATTCACTTTACAGTATATTCTGTGAAGTGCTTTAAGATGTCTTGAAGACATGATGAGATGTTATATCAAATGCAAGTATTATTATTATTTAAGGGCACATGATCTATCACCAAGACAAAGCTGATCATGCTAGGTAGTAGCATATCCCTGGTGGGAGCACAAACCCTGGTC